CTGAAACACCTTTAAAAAACATTTTTAAGTAGTTTTAACTTTTTATATTTGAATTAGGTGAAGATATACAGAGCAGATCATTTTTCATGTAACAACTCATATATTTTGTTTCATGTCATACTTTACAATCCCCCAAATGTAACACTACTGATCCCACTTCTTCCGTGTGTTTTATTCCCATTTCTCTTCTTTAACTAAGCCTACTGAACTTTGTCCTTGGGTGAATGCTGCTTGTTTGAATTCAGATGGCTGATTATTAGATAGTGTGGGTACCTCACCCCCTCAATGTGACTGATCCATTAATAGACATGGTTATTTTGTGGCTGACCTTTTTAGACCTGAAGGCTGAGTAGGGATCAGAGTCTCAGGGCTCCACATTCTCTATGTGAATAGAAAGTCTGGTCACTGTTGTGATTCTGAGGTCTAGTCTATGTTTTTCTTTCACTCTGTCCAGGACCTAAAGTGACCCTTTTCAGAGCAGTCGGTAGTAGTAGTCAGGCACCATCTAGATCTTCTGATCTCAGTGTTGTGGAGACGGATGGCGAGCAACAAATCCCTCATGGTGTTTGCTTATGTTTGGTCCATTACGCTAGTGCATTTGCGTATTTCCCATGTGCTTTTCTATTTTCATCACTCTTTGGTGAGTGGAGTACAGAAGGTCAAAGACAGGCGCCTGACTTGAACCATTAAAACTTGTCAGCAGATTTCCTCTAGGGTGTATGCTGGGCCTGATCTTATGCATTTTGGGGTTGTATTGGGTTTTTTTTTGTACATATTGTCCTGGGTATCTCAGGAGTATTGTGTCATTGGGGGTAATCCTCTTAAAATTGTGGGAACTGTTTTTGGGTGTATGAAAATCAGGACTGATGAACCTATAGAGTCAGAAAGTGGAATAAGAGTTGGGGGGGGAGGGCTCAGAGGTGGTGGCGGGGTGAAGGGATGATGTCAAGGGGTCCATATAGAACAGGAATGTTTGGAAACATTGTGGTAGTAAATGCACAATTCTGATGGATGTGATTAAAATATGGAATGATTTTATATATGTGTTAATCCAAATTAAAAATAATTTAAAAAGGAATGAAGTTGGATATCTATGATAGAATTTGGCAAGACTAATAACAACATAAACAGTGACTACTCATGTGGACCTCACCAGATGGAATACATAAGACTCAAATGGACTACATCAATGGGAAGAGACAATGGAGAAGCTCAAATCCTCAGTCGAAACAAGGCCAGAGCTAACTGTGGAACACACCATCAATTACTCATTTGTAAACTGAGTAGCTAAAGCAAATGGAAGAAATGAAGTAAAAGAGCTGAACAGAAAATTTCAAAGAGCAGCTCAAGAAGACAATACAAAGTGTATAATAAAATGTGCAAAGACTCTAAGTAAGAAAGCCAAAAATGAAGAAAACACTCATTATATCTCAAGCTGAAAGAATTGGAAGAAAAAAATTCAAGCTTGAGTTGCCATACTGAAGGATCCCATGGGCAAAATATTGACTGGTGCAGGAATCATGAAAAAAAGATAGGGGCCGGAGAAGTAAAAGATTACAGAGTCACTGTACCAAAAAGAACTGGTCAATGTTCAACCATTTCAGGAGGTAGCACATGATTAAAAAAAAACAACCCAATGATATTGAAGGAAAACGTCCAAGCTGTATTGAAGATATTACCCAAAGATAAGGCTCCAGGAATTGATGGAATATTAATAAAAACATTTAAAGACACCGATGAAGCACTGAGAGCACTCACTATATGTCAAGAAATTTGGAAGACAACTATCTATCCATAACTGACTGGAAAAGATCCATATTTATGTCCATTCCACAAAGTGACAGTAGCACAACAGAATGTAGATGCTATCACATCAACAGAGAGTTGTCAGAAATTTGAGATATAGAAGAGGATATGGAAAAAGGGATACCACTGCAGACATCGGATGAATCTTGGTTGAAAGCAGAGAATCCTAGAAAAATGCTTACTTGTGTTGTGCTTTATTGACTATGCAAAGGCATTCAACTGTGTGAATCATCATAAATGATGGGTAACACTGCAAAGTATGGGAATTTCAGGACACTTCATTGTGCTCCCAAGGAACCTACACATGGAGCAAGAGGCAGTCATTCAAACAGAAAAAGGGAACATTGCATGATTTAAATTTAAGAAAAGTGTGCATCAGGGTTGTCTCCTTTTACCATACTTATTCAATCTACATGCTGAGCAAATAACTGAAAGAAGAATTTAGCATCAGGATTGGAGGAAGGCTTATGAACAACCTGCGGTATGCTGATGACACAACCTGGCTTGCAGAAAGACTCAATGCACTTGCTGATGAAAATCAAAGTTTTCAGTATGAATTGCAACTCAATCTAAAAAAAAAAATAGAAGTAAAATCTCACCACTGGACTTATAGACAACGTGGCTCCATAATCAACAGTCATGGAAGTAGCAGCCAACAAATCAAATGATGCAGTTCATTGGACTACCTGCTGCACAAGACCTCTTTAAATGGTTCAAGAACAGAGACGGCTCCAAATCAGTGAGATGAATGGCTTCAGTTTTCTAGCAAGGGCACAGGGAACACTAACATTCTGTGACAATGAGTGAGTTAAGGCAGAAGATCTGTTGACCTCCACATCAATACCACTCCTTCTGCTTTGTCTACATCTGACCCTCTTCGATCTCAGCCATTGTCAATAGGAAAGATAGGGCTGGCAGTGGCTTACACTAGTCTTGAGTAGTGTTATGGATGGAGCTGTGCTCCTCCCCACCCCAAGGATGTGTCAAATTACTCCATGACTGTATCTCTCACTGCCATTGAGCCAATTCGGACTCATAGTCACCCTATAGTACAGGATAGACCTGCCCTTGTAGGGTTCCAAGATGGTAACTGTTTATGGGAGTACACAGTCACATTTTTCTCCTGCAGAATGACTGGCAGATTCGAACTGCTGACCTTGAGTAAGCAGTCCAATACATAACCGCTACACCACCAGGGCTCAGTATTATGTAAGTATCCTCCATTTGGGGAATTGATGTAATTATCTGTGTTGTAAAGCCTTACCTCTCTGCCTTGGTGGTAATATTAGGTAAGTGTCAGACTGCTAACTGGAGGTCGGCAGTTCAAATTCACCAACTACTCATTGGGACAAAGATGAGGTTGTGTATTTCTGTATATACTTACAGCCTTACAAGGTCTATATAGGGTCACTTTGAATTGGAATCAATTGGAATCAATATGAATTAGGTTATGATACTAATGATGCAAAAATGTTAATGAGGCAGTGTGGGGAGAAGTCAGATCCTTGCTGCCAGACTGCTGTCTCATCCCACAGCAGGGCTGGGCCTACTCCCTGTTGCTGGAGACAATGGATTACCTCTCTCTGGAGCCAAAGGCCATTAGTTTGATTCCTGTGGGCGGAGTTCACACCCAACTGATAATGGTTCCTATGAAGACCCAAAATCAAGTTAAGCTGTTACCAGAAATCTAGGATTCGCCTATCTTGCAGCATGAACACCCCCAATCCCTTCTCCTTCTGTAGTGCATATGTCCCTAGATCACCTCCTCCCATCACTGTAATACCTGTAGCACAACCCTTTCCTGTGACGTATGTCTTCATCTGTAATGTGGGGGCTTGCACGTCCCCAATGTCCCGAGAGAGTATAAAAGCTTGGGGAGCATTAAAGTGCTCTCTCTCTCTCACTCCCTCCACGTGGACCACCAAGCGGGGCTGAGGTGAGCATGCTATCATAATATGTGTCTGACTCCATTTATTTCTATATATCTCTTTTATCTCTCATGCTCTCTATAACCTTACTATAATATTTACTTATTATCGCTGTACAATTGCGCCTACCAAACCCGTAGTGATTGTGCTAGGAGCTGGCTTCTCTGGCAAGGCAGGATAAAATCTACAGGATTAGATTGTACATTGAGTCGATCTCTTTTGAGATATTAAAAAGATTCAGTAAGTGCACAGAAAGGGAAATGGGTCTACCACCAAGCAAGATGAGATAGGAGCACAGCATGTCCTTTGGACCCAGCGTCCCTGAACTGCGAACCATCTAGACCCAGGGGATGATTGATACCTAAGCACATAAAGATCATTATGGACTATCAAGCCCACGGATATTGAAAGGAGGCAACCTTCCCGCTGAGCCCAAAGAGAATGAAAACCTTTCCCTGGAGTTGGTACCTTGAATTTGGACTTCTGGCCCTCTCATATGAGAGAATATATTTTTGCTTGCTAAGCCATCCACTTATGGTATTTCTGTTAGGGGAAAGCTAGATAACTAGGACAGGTAGTACTCCTTTCTAGACAGGACTTCTGAAGAATGTGATGCTGAGAGGAATGGGCTTTAACTGTAGAATAATATGGTGCATTTGTAATTTTTCTGTCTGAGATTCTGATGGGGTCCTGCTTCCTCTCAGAGAGTGGTGATAACATGACATGAGATGACCAAGCAGAGGATGGCACCCCTTAGGAAACAGTGATCAACAGGAGTGGATACTTGATCTCAGAGGAGCAGGCTAAAGTCAATTTTGGTGATTGATATTTACAAAGAGTGAAAACACTCTGCTTTTCTGAGTACTTAGTCTAAAAGTTGATAGTCAAGGACCACTGTCCCCATTAGAGAGAGCAATTGTGGCTGAAAAATGACACAGTGCTGAGAGATAGAGTTAGCATCTTGTTATTATGTAAGTGCCTAGATCAAGCTATGCCTGAAATCCAAACCCTCACATATTTCAATTCTATAAGATATTAAAAAATTGATTTAAAGTTAAACTAGGTTAAGTTACATTTCTGCTATCAGTAACTAGAAGAATGCTGGCCAGTAGAAAACAAAATGTTTTTTTTTGGGGGGGAGGGGTGTGTGTGTTGGATATTTGCCCTTCCTTGTGTCTTTTAAATGAAACCCAGTGTGTAGTTGCCAACTTTATAGGCTGGTCTTGTACAGTTTCCCTACCACCACCATCCCATTTATTCCGTTACCTGGAAATAGTTCAAAAGCACACCAGCCACGGAGAGCCCAAGGCCTGCAAACACGAAGGGTAATGTGACCTCAGCACCAATGGAGAGTGTGGTCTCCCTGCTGGGCTCAGTGCCCAGCTGTTTGGGAGCCACCTGTTGGCTCTCAGGAACCCTCCACCATCCATCTTCTGAAGTTGCAGTGGGTCTTTCTGGACTAGCGATCTGTGGCAGCCCCGACTCCTCTGGCTTGCCAAAGCCCTCTGGCCTCCGATGCCGAGCCCCTGCTCTATCCATCCGAGCACAGTTGAGCTTCTGGCAGCCTTACCCTAGAAGACACAAAGCAACAGGCATTGTAGAAAAATAATTCACGACTCCTAAAGTGTCTATAAGGAGCCCTGGCGGCACAGTGTTTACATGTTGGGCTGCTACTGGCCAGCAGTTCAAAACCACCAGCTGTTTCTTTGGAGAAAGATGAGACTCTCTACTTCCACAAAGACTTAAAATCTTGGAAACCCACAGGGGCTGTGGTAGTTACATAATCTGTTGTCAATTTGAGACTTAAGAGTGAAGGAGGTTAGCCTGTCAATTGGGTCATACCTTGATGAACTCATTTGGAGGCATTAAGGAGATAGATAAATAGCTCACTGGAGGCAGAACACAGATACACTCCCTGAAAGACATGCTTGCTGACAAGACACATGTAGCTACACTAGAGCCCAGGAGCTGAAGGAGCCACATGGAGACCCCTGCCAATGCTAAGATGCCTCTACTGCCACTGAATCCACAAGACTTCCCACCCACTGTCCTGTGATCTTCCTGCATTCGGCGTCATTGCATGTGTTTTGTGAGTCTGAAGAGGACTTATAGATTGGTATTGGACATATGGGCTAATATCAGACTTATGGACTTGATCTGGACTGGACTGGGATGTTTTCTCAATATTCAATTGCTCTTGTATATAAAGCTCTTTCTTATACACATATGCATGTTTATGAATTTGTTTCTCTAGTCTACCCAGACTAACATAGGGGCAGTTCTATAGAGTTGCTATGAGTCAGAATCGACTCAATGGCAGTAAGTAATGAGAGTCAAAGGTCTATGTCTGTTAGGTTTTCTCGGGTTAGAAATACCTCAGTCCTTGGCTTTGCATGAGAAAGAATTCATGTTGAAGCCTGGTTTGTGATCTAAGTGGGTTTTTATAAAGGATAAGAATTTCAGGTTTTACACAGGCACCCTCAGGGCACTTCACACCCACATGTGGAAAGCTGAGACCAGAGGAATCCTGGAAAAGAGGACCATCAGCTGGTCCAATGGTACTGGTTGATCCCATTGGCTGAATTAAACCCACCTGGACTAGATTGGGGCCCACCCAGGTGTACTGCCTACTTAGGTATACCGCCCCAACCTAGCTCGGGGCCTGAATATAAGCATGCTCTCTAGCCTTATGGCTGGCTGGGCTCACCTGATTCTCTGCAGCAACCTCCTATAGGGGCGCCTTGGCATAGAGAGGGACAACTCCCTCTCTGGCTACTTAACATATCCTGTACCTCCTCAGACCCTTATCCAACCAGAGACTGGCATTGTGCTAGCTGATTCATAACCACTAACTCAGCTTCTGCTCTGCACAGCTTCCTGCAGCCTCAATTTATGAGACTGAATACCTATACAGACAAGGACATAAATACACATGTATCAGACGTTAGTCAAAAGGGCACCATAAAGACCTCTGAAAATATCTCCTCTGTAAAAATAAGAAAACTCTTGAAGTGGTCAGAACGAACTATTTCAGAAGTCTGGAAGCTAAGCAATGCCTTGAAGCAGACTGAGAAATATTAATGAAAAAAGCAAAATGACACAAAACAAAACACCTGTTGAATCTTAGCAAGCACATTGAGTTTGGTGGCATTTTAAGTTGCCATCGTCCCATCCCTGGCTCATGAAATTTATAGTGGCCTTGAAAATTAACAGCCTGCAATGGGAGTGAAGTCCAGGAGCCTGGAGGGGCAGCATAGGGCTGGAGCTCTTCGGTGCCTCCACCCTGGAGAACTGCAATTGTTTAATCTGTTGGGTGTTTCACTGGAAGTCTTCTACTACGTTGTTAGTATTTGACCTGGTTTGATGTTTTCATGGTAAAAAACGCGTTTTCTTTGGAGGCTGTGTATTGTAAATTATATTTGAATTCACAGTTGCTTGAGGTAGTGGATAGTAAGGTTTAAAACCACAACCACAACAAAACTAACCAAAAAGGTCAAAATGAAAGGCTGGGCCACAGCTCTGGCTATTTAAAAGGCCACACACAGGTGTAGGGTTGCTTTCACCCAGGACTGAGAACATGCCCATGAGAGACCGGAGAAGGCCCTAAGGTTCTACATCTGGCTGATCTGGAAGCACTTCAAAGGAGCAAGTGAACAAGTGGAGACTAATGCATGTTTGTTCACTGTCTGAACGAGGTTTGAAAGTGTGCCCTAGGGTCTCAGAGTCCCTCAGCAAAACTAAGAGATGGATTGGTGTCATTATGGTGTCCAAGGACCTCATTAATAATTGATTACTAATGAAGACTTTTTTAAGGGTCACAAACAACAAAGGATAGAGACTTTAAAGAATAGGTCTAGAAAAGTCACTAAATTAACATATAACAATGGCAATGACTATGACGGCAACAACTACTACTATAGGTAGAGCACACCATGGTGAGGGGAGATCATATTTCCACAGTTCTACATGATACTATTCAAATGGCCGCTTTTCAACAACAACAAAACATGTGTCATATTTAAAAGCAGGAAATTATGGCCCATAACAGGAGATAAAAATAATCTAATAGAAACTGTCCTTGAGGAAGCCCAGTCATGGACTGACTGGACAAAGACTCCACATTTTAAATATGTCCCACAAACTAAAGGAAATGTGTAGAGTCCTAAAGGAGAGTATGAGAAAAAGTCTCATACAATTACAACAAAGAAATAAAGATTATTTTAAGAGGGCTAAATAAAAATTAGGGAGTTGAAAAGTATAATGATTCCAATGAAAAACTTTACTATAGGAATTCCGTATCTGATTGGAGCGGCGAGAAGGAAGAATCAGTGAACTAGAAGATAACTGAGATGATATACTCTGAGAAACAAAAGAGCAAATAAGAAAGAAGAAAAATGAACAGAGCTCCAGAGATCAGGTAAGTTCACCTATGCAGAAGGAGAGAAAGGCAAAGGGGCAGAGAATAATTTCCAAAAAATAATTTCCCATATTTGATGATATGGATATGTCAAAGAACCTCACAGAGATCCTCGGGGACCCATCGGAATCAAATGGATGAAAAACAAGGCAGGGAAAGCCCATCCTCCCCCAGGAGGGTCCCCCAAGAAGAGGAATAGTGCACTTCTCATCTGAAACCAGGGAAAGTCAAAAGGGGATGACATATTCAAAAGACAGAAAAGACAAAAATACTAACCCAGCCTTCTACCAGGCCAGCAAAAGCAGCTTTCAAAACGGAAGGTGAAATTCAGATATTCCCAGATCAACAAAAACGGACAGAATCTGTCATGAGCAGACCTGCTCTGTAAGAACACGACAGGGATTCAATCCTCCAGGCTAAAGTGCACTTTAATCTCAGAAAGCAACTTGAATTCGTACAAAGAAATAACAGACATGATACGATCTTTTATCTTTATTTATAGGAGAGTAACTCTGTAAGGAAATACAAAAGGCAGCATAAATGGATTTTCAATCAACGCTATTACTTGATTGAAAATACAGTTGCACAAAGAAATAATAATAAACCTGTGTTAGGAGATACACAGTGTACAAAAATGTAATCCGTATCACAGTGAGAAGACACAAGGGGAGGAGATGAAACTACACACAGGTTATGGATCTTGCAATAAAAGGACTTCATCTTGCAAAATTCTATCCTGCAACCTCCAGCTTCATTTCTTCATTTTCCCAAGGCCATATTTTCCAATTCCTGTTCCTTCTTTGTTTCTAACTTTTGCATCCAATCGCCAATAACTACCATGGCATCTTAATTTCATGTATTAACAATTTCAGACTGAAACAGTTGGTAGAACTCTCCTATTTCTTCATCACTAACTTTAGTGGGTGGTGAATAAATTTGAATAATTGTATTAGCTGGACTTCCGTGTAGGCGTATTAATATTATCCAATCACAGAAACCCTTATTCTTCTAGATGGGTCTTGAAATGTCCTTTTAGATGATCATTATGATGTCATTTCTCTTGGGGTTGTCATTTCCAGTATAAAAACCCTATGAATGTCAGGTTTAAATGGCCAATATCAATCTCACTAATGCCTAGGATACTGATCATTATGGGTTCCATTTCATTTTTGATGTCTACACATTTTTCTAGGCTCATCCTTTGTAAATTCCATGTTTAGATTATTCATGGATGCTTGCAGCTGTTTCTTATTTTAAGTCGTGCTCCATCAGCCACTCATGGTCTCCAATGCTTTATTCCATCCACGTCCATTTGAAGAGGCAGCTCTTTCTCGTCATATTCCATATGCCTTCCAACCTGAGGGGCTCATCTTCCAACCCTATGTCTAAGAATATTCCTCTTCTATTCATGTAATGTTCAGGGTGAATTCTTCAGAAGGGAACAGCCTACTCTTTCTTCTTAGTATGTTCTTAAATCTGGAAGCTCTGCTGAAACCTGTTCACCGTGGGTGACACTGCTGGTATTTGATATCCCGGAGGCAGAGTTTCCAGTATCACACCAACACACAAGCCACCATAGTCCGATAAACTGACAGCCCAGCCAAGGGAGTCCAGTTGCAGGAAGCCTTTCCTGTCTTTTGTGAGGGAGCCCCTTAGCGTGCAAAACCAATCAATGGTGTAGGTGCTATAAATGGTTTGCTGTGCAACACTGCCATCTCGTGGGCATGCCTGTTTCCTGGATTAGCTCCTCTACCGAAACTGCGTTTACCAATACCAGTAGATCTCAAATAGACAGACAGGCAACTTGCTGCCATCCAGTCAATGCTGACTCATAGTGAGCACCTGTGGGTTTCTGCGTAGAAAACCTAGTCTTTCTTCTGCAGAGCTGCTGGTAGTTTTGAACTGCTGACCATGCTTAGAGTTGCCAGACTTAGCAAGTAAAATGGGACCTATTTTTGTTAAGACAATGATTTGTTGTTTAGCTTAAGTTATATTATAGTTGACTGGGCACCCTCTTTTTTATCTGGGACCACTTTTCAGACTTCCAGATAGCATGGTCACTTTGTTTCCCCTACCTTACTAGCAGTTTTCTCTGCTCTTCCTGTACCCACCCAACCATCAGAAGACTGCAGGACTACTTCCCCTCTGCC